GCCCCCTATGAGGCCACGAAGCGCTGTGCTGGGTGGTGGCTGAAGCATGCGGGCGGTCTCACTGGGGGCTTCGGCGGAGCTCCCTATGGGGCCACGAAACGTGTGAGGGGGGTGCCGAAATGGTGGACATGCGGAGGGCAGAGACAAGGGATGGGAGGAGGGGGAGGGAGGAGGAGGAGGAGGACGAGGAGAGCAAGGCTGCGGAGCAACCCACCGGATGCCAGGTCTGGTCGCGGCGCGTCAGCAGATGAGCTATACTGACCAGGGGCCGTGCGAGGCAGAGCAGGGCACGCCGTGCTTCAGGAATGCTTTGTTTCTCCACGGCGGCCCTTCGCTCAAGCACGGCCGGGTTAGGCCGCCCAGGGGCATCGTCTGGGTCCGGGATCAAACCACTTCAAACTTACACCCTCCTGCAGCGGACGGGGAGACAGGACGTGCGCTCAGTGATGCTACTCTCTGTTGGTGCAGGGTCTCTGTTACCCTGGAATGCTGCCCACGCTGGCTCACCAGAACTAGCGCCAGCTCGCCCACGGATACACGACCTCGCCAGGGCACCATGGCATCCACCACTGCTTATCCGCGAAGCACCCGAGACTAATCCCAAAGTGGTCGAACACGCAGCACTGGTACGCCTCCTCTTCCGCGCTGGCGGCGTGAACCTCGGCACCAGGCTCCAGCGTCGCCGTCGTCAACGTGGTTGTGGTCGTGGTCCTGGTCGCAGCCACCGGCACGTTTGCCTCGCACGCCGGGAAGCAGGGGACGCACTTGAACATCGGAGCAAGGGTGAACTTGAAGCGGGCGGCCTGTCCGTCGTCCCTGAAGTTCTTGAGCGTGACCTTCGCCTTTTTCAGTGGCAACTCATGGGAGCCTCCCATACCATCTTGTCGGCTCTTGCGAATCGACGCTAGTCGACGCTAAATCGGCGCGAATCGACGCTAAATCGACGCTAGTCAACGCTAACCGACGCTAAATCGGCGCTATCTCATCGATTCCCAGACGCTAATCGACGCTAGCCGACGCTGAAGTCAGAATTACGAGGGTACACAGGGCTCCCAGGATTTGCTACCGAAGCCTTCTCTAGGTCGGTGAACTTGATGCTCACTGCCAGTTTCTTCATCTCCTCCGTCAGCTCGTCGGGGTAGGTGGCCAGCGTCATGCCCGCGGGCGCAGAAGATGCGAAAGTGTCGAGCGTCCCCATCTTCTCGTACTGGATGTAGCTGTCCGTCATCATGGTGTACTCGTTGACGCCCTCGGCCTCGACGGCCATGCCGTCCTCCAGGTCGTAGAAGGTAATGTAGAGCTCCGGGAGCACCAGCTCGGAGCCATCTGTGTTCGCGATCTCGATGCTGAGCGGCATGGTTTTGTCGTACTCGAGGGAAACGAACGCAAAGTGCCCAGTGGAAGCGGGCTGATTGGTATCGCAATCGCCCTCGCACTTGAAGCTGAACGTGACGCTGATGCCCATATCTAGGCCTCCAGACACCGCGACGCCCTCCCAGCTAAGAGCGTTCGGCAACGAATTAACGGCTTGAGGAGCACTAGTCGGCTTGAGGAGCACTCGGTCGTACTCATAACAAGCATCCTGGTTGAGCTGAATGTTGGTCTCGATAATGAAATTAGATCCGGAGAACGCACGCTCTGCGAAGAATATAGCGAGGACCACAGTCTTCCCAACCTCGAGAGCAAGGTCATCTTTAACAGCGTCCAGCTCCACTATTTTTTCGATAGGCGTATGCATACCCCCAACGTCGATTGCCAGCCGCTCGTTGAAAAACACCCAGAGGTCGTCGTCGCCCTTGAATCTGAAAAATTCTCCGCCGTGGTACACAAAGGTGTGGGTGGCGCGCATTGTGAAGTAGTAGTTATGCGGCAGATATTCGTGGACGTCGTTGTGCCCCAATCCGTCCAGGGGGAAGAAGTTGGGGCGGCTGATCTCCCACACGCCAGACTCTCCGTACTTCTCCTCCAGCGGCAGCGTCACCTCGACCCTCACAGACCGGGACGAGCCTGCCCACCACTCGTCGAAATTGGATTGGGTTGAGAGCGTGCAGGGCAGGTTCTCGTTCGCGACCTGGCAGTCATTCCACACTGGGAACCCGGTCTTTGGATGGAGCCTGCTCTGCACCAGCCCCGTCTGCTCCAGCTTGGTGTTCTTCTGGAAGAACCCGGGCTCGAAGTCGGGGTGCCCTCCGCTCAAAGCCTTGGCCTTGAAGTCCTGGAAGACGCAGTGGATCTGGGCAGATTCACTGATGGCCGCACTGGTAGCCTCCTCGAGACGCACCAGCTTCTGGCCCACTGGTGCCGCCGCTGGCCCGCTCGTCCTCGCAACCGCCGCGACGACGCCCGCGCCGGCCAGCGCAGCGGCCCCCAGCGCGGCCCACCAGCGAGGGCCTCGGTGCGGCTTCCTGGTGCCCTCCGCCTCGCCCGCCAGCTCGGCGGGGACGTCCCCCGCGAGCCTCAGGGGCTCAGCCTCGCCCTGCCCGTGCGCTGTGCTCGCCATCTCCCGCGCGGTGGCAGCCAGGGGGGGGGGCAAAGCGGTCGAGACTTCGAGTCGCCTCGGGACTGCGTTCGCCTTCGGGGTGGAGTCGCCGAAATGGCTTGAACCAAAATGGCTACGGAAGGAGGAGGAGGAGGAGGAGGAGGAGGAGGAGGGGGAGGGGGGGGGGCGAGAAGGAAGGAGTGGACGCGGGGACAGTCTCTTCAAAACGAGGACCCAAAACCACAGGATGGTTGGGAAAAAGGTTTCGCGCCCCGCGGGGTCTATTCATTGAGCAGGGCCCGACCGTCCCGACACTCCTATAGGCCTACCACGGCATGTTCTCAGAACCCAGAAATGTTCGAATAACAAAACAATGTTCTTAGAACACAAACCCGATGTGTTGAAGCAAGATAGTCTCAGCAAGAAGTGTTCTAAGAACATGTCTTAGAACATTCTTTGGTGGGCTATAGGTAAGCCAAGACGCTTCGCCATTGCTCGAATTCATCAGCCCAGGGGGGGTCCGGCCATTTGTTAATCACAAGCTGACATAATGTAGTGCAAACTATGCAGGTGGAGCAAAGTATGTGGTACAGTCTAGGTTGTGCAACCTATAGTGTCTAATCCACGTGGTGCGATATACGAGGTGCACTATCTCTTGTGCAACATGTGTGGAGCAATCGTTCTGGTACAATCGATGTTGTGCAATACATGTCGTACAGTATCCAGTATGCCATATGTATTGTGCAACATGTGGCTGTGCGATCTATGCTTTGCCATCAATGTGGTGCAGCATGTGTTGTGCGATATCTGTGGTGCGCTATCTATATGGTGCAGTATACGTGGTGAAATTGCTGTGCAATATATGTTGTGCAAGATCTCTGGGGCGGCGACGGCGGCCACATAGCCGCAGGACCGAAGACATCGCCCAGACGACGGGCGGCGACGAGTCGTCGACGGGGCGACGACCAACACCGCCGCATCGACGACAGCACCACCACTACGACGACACGAAGACAACCGCGAGGCCAGCAACAGCCACCACAACCTTGACGCCGACCACGACGACTACCACCACATCGACCATTACCAGAAAGGCGACTAGAACGACGACCAGAACGGGCAAAGACGGACAACAACGACGACAACCAACGGATGACAACAACGACGATCAGATTGCGAACATATGACCCAACAAACTAATTTGATCCTCAGTTGATTATCCCTCTCCCTTGCACCCGTCCACTGAGTCTATGAAGCAACCCCCTTCGTAGGGGGCTTCTTGTCATAACAGCGCCTGGAAGAAGCATCCAGCAGCGCACTCTGTGCGCAAGGCGCTGCCATGGCCACCATGCGAACTAACGCGCCCGCAGACAATTCCTTTCAACTTGAGCAAATTTGCGAGGGCGTCTCGGGCGAGAGCGTCAATGCCTGAGTGCGAGAATGCATATATGACCGGGGCGCACTCGATTATATTACGAGAAAGTATAGAGCAGGAGCCATTGACATCGCCCACTACCTCGAATGAATTGCGCGGGCGTCTCGGGTCAGGGCGCCGTTCCTGAGGGGGGGCCTCTCTAGCAGGGGGTCTGGGAGTCAAACTGTGAGGGGTTATCGAGCGAGAGCCGTTGTAGTCGCATTTGGGCCTTTAGCAACTTGAGTGCCTTGATAGGACGTCTCGGGCGAGAGCGCCGATCCAGAGTTGGGGCGCCTCTCTGGCCACAGCGCCTGAGGATAATTTCGAGGAAATATCGACCAGGAGCCGTTATCGTCGTAGCACGGCCTTGAAGGATTCACATTTGGAAGCAAGCCTGCGCTTGAGCGGGAGGTTTAGTTTCAAGGAAAACGTCACCAGCGTCGAAGCGATGTCGCCAGGAACGCTTTTCCATAGATCAGCAAGATGCTCCTCTAACATGAGAGCTCGACGACGACGACGGCGGCAGCGACGCCGACGACGACGACGACGACGACGACGACGACAACGACGACGACGACGACTTCGCGGACGTTGCGGATGGTGGCGCAAGGCATCACTGCCGCACGCCGAGCGCCCCGCGCGCGACAGGCCGCTCGCGGCCGCTGGCACGACGACGACGACGACGACGACGACGACGACGACGGCGACGACGACGACGACGACGACGACGACGACGACGCCGAGGGGCTACCCGAGGGCCTGGCGGTCTGCCTCGGGCGGCCCGACGCGTGCGGGCGCCATGGCCGTCGCGGGCACGGCGGCGGCATCCGGCGCCCGCGGCATCGCCTGGCGGCCGGCCGGCCAGCCAGCATTCGCTCGCCGCCGCTCTTCGGCTCCGTCCTCCCCCTGCCTCCCGCCGCATCCCTCCTGCTTCCCTCCTCCGTTCCCCCCTCACCACCTTCCCTTTTCCTCCTCCTCCTCCTCTTCCTCCTCCTCCTCCTCCTCCTCCTCCTCCTCCTCCTCCTCCTCGTCCTCCTCCTCCTCCTCCTCCTTCCTCCAAGCTGGCCAAGCGCGGAGCGGTCGGCCCACATCCGAGGAGGGTGCCCAAACTGCCTGCATGAATTCGCTTGAAGTCGGCCCATTCAGGCCCAGGCCGCAGGCCCGAGAGAAGCGGCGGCTCACGTAGCCTGGAGACGCCGCTGCAGACTGCTGCCGCTGGTCGCCGCCGCCGCCGCCGCCGCCGTGGTCACCATGGTCGTCAGCGAGGTCGTCGACGTGGTGACGGCGGTCGCCAAGTGAGATGGTGGTTGTGGGATTCGTCGTGGTCGTCGGCGCGGCCGTCGTCGCGTCGTCGTCATGGTCGTCGTTGTCGTCATCGTGGTCGTCGTCGACGTCGTCTGTCGTGGTCAGGGTCGTCATCGTCTCTTCGTCGTTCCTCACCTCATCTACCTCCTCTTCGTCCTCTTCCCTCATCGTCCTTATCGTCTCTCGTCGTCGTCATCATCATCAGCATCATCGTCATCATCATCATCATCATCATTATCATCAGCATCAGCATCAGCATCAGCATCAGCATCAGCATCAGCATCATCATCATCATCATCATCATCATCATCATCATCATCATCATCAGCATCATCATCATCATCATCATCATCATCATCATCAGCATCAGCATCAGCAGCAGCATCAGCGAAAGCATCAGCATCAGCATCAGCATCAGCATCATCATCATCATCATCATCATCATCATCATCATCATCATCATCATCATCATCATCATCATCATCATCATCATCATCATCGACATCCTGCTACACCTGGTACTCCTCCTCCTCCTCCTCCCTCCCTCCCTCGTTCTCGTCTGTGAGGCACGGCAGGCACAAGATCCACGTGATCTAAACGCACGGCCCTCCCTGTCCCTCCTAGACGTCCCCCCACATCCTGTGGCGGGCAACGGATCTCTTCTGCCGAGCTGCAGCAGAGCCCGTGAAGAGGAACGGAAGGGGCACGTGGCCGTGATTCAATTGCTCCATAAAGACATCCTGCGCATAGATTCGCCTTCCCCACACAGCAATCAAGACGTTTAATGCTGTAAGCCTCAGCGCACCATGGACTATCACGAAAGCGTGCACAAACAGGATACGTGGCGGGATGCATTGCGTAGCTGGAGGCCGTATGACTTTGTGCAATGAACGCGGCGGCGCCCGAGAAGGAGGAGGAGGAGGAGGAGGAGGAGGAGAGGGGGAAGCGAGATAGGAGCGGCCACCAGACGAGGGTCAGCAAGAGACGAGCCGTAGGCAGAAGAATCAAGACCCGCTGCCCGAAGACCACGCACCCCGAGAGGTGATGGAGGCGGTGCCCGCACAAGTGTCATCCTGCTCATACTCATACTCCTCGCCGTGCTCTTTTGATTCTTCTGAAGGTAGTCATGGTTGCTAATATGGGTCTTGGACGGGGGGTGCATACACGCGCGCAGGTTTCTCAATATCCGCAACTTGAGCGGTGGAGGCGGCTGGCCTGCGGACAGGCCTGCCAAGGTCAGCTACGTCCTACCGCCACGGCGATTGCTGCGCCCTCTCTGCCACGAGTAGAGCGGCTGAAGAGCGGCAGCGATCGGTCACGGCGTCAGATCTCGCCGAAGCACTAGTGGGGATCGCATGCTGCTTTCGCGAGGAATGTTTGATCATGCCTGGATTTTCAAACCCGGACCGTGTCCTCAAGGAGGCCACCAAATCCGATCCGAAGGGTTCCCAAGAGGGAAAGTAAGGACCTCCAGGGTAGGTTGTTATTAGACGAGCCGTGCTTTGACCATGAGATTGCTAAAATCAGTCGGGTTCAAAAAAGATAGATGCTAGGTTCCAGAACCGGTTGGTCTTCAGCGCGCTGTGACAGCCCAAATTAGCCATCTGCTGCCGCACAGGCTGCATGTATTGCCGCTGCACTGTTTCAAATGCAGGCCACTAGACAGAGCGCATGTTTCCACGACTGCACTGCAATAGTTAATGAAGCATACTCTTGCTCCCTCAGTGTGGCTGTCTTACCGCGACGCGGCATGAAACAAAACAAGGGACGCCCTGGAACAGCAGGGGGAAGATCTGGGGGAAGATCTGTCGGGAGATCTTGGGAGTGTCCAGTGAAAGATTTGGCGCGGCTGCAAAGCGATAAATCTGGAGGAATATTTGGCGGAAGATCTGGGGGAGATCTGAGGGAACATCTCGGATAAAATATTTGGCGGGAAGTCTGGAGGAAGATATGGAGGGACATCTGAGGGAAGATCTGGTGGAAGGTCTGGGCGAAAATCTGGGGAATGTGCTGAAGGAGATTTGGCGGTTAGTGCGTCGTGAATATGCAGCATGATTTGCGGGAAGATCTCGGGAAGATCTGGAGAAAGATCAGAGGGACAAGATATGAGGAAACATCTGGGGGAAGATCTGGGTGAAGATCTGGAGGACGGTCTGGAGGAAGATCTGGGGGAAGATCTGAATCAATATCTGGGTGCATATGTTTGGGGAACATAGAAAAAGCTCTGCGGGAGGAAAGATCTGGGTGACGATTTTGAGGAAGGAACATCTGGGGTAAGATCTGGCGGGAGATCTTGGGAAAC